CTTTTTGTTGTTTAAAAAAAAAAAAAAAAGCCTGACCAGATGTGAAGTAGTTTGAAGGAATTAGAGGAAATGCTGATGGAGCGTCATGCGAAGAACCGGACAACAGTGAAGTTCCTATATAATATGAAAAGATTACATTGTTACATGAAAACGCATATTTACAAAGGAAAGATTATTCAAGCTGAAGGTTTAGGAATACTTTGGTAACATCGTACGGTGTCGCTTTAATAAGATCTCACATCCTTTCTGCACCAGTGAAATGAGTTTTTAACCATTTTAACTGTTACTTAAATGTTCACTGTATGTGATCTATAAATAATGTTAATATACAGAGTTTATATAATATTTGACAATTGTCACTTTGATGTAATTAAACTCTGAAACTTGCTATATAATCCACATAGAAACCTAGCAGTGAGTTTCTTGATTTACTTCCATTTTGCTGAAAGCATTTTTGTCCAAATGTCTTATGTTTTGTATGTACATTTGTACTTCTTAAATTGATTTCAAACATTTTATTGTTTTCCTCAATTTTTATCATACGAAACAACTTCAAAATTGTGAAATTTGTAAATTTATTTTAGAAGACTTTTCTTGCATATATAACTTATTTTGGTTGATGTATCCTTCTGAGAAAGTACTCAATCACTTATTTTTGCAAGAAGTAGGTAAAAAGATAGATTAACTGATGCTTCATTTAATTCAGATTTTATATTGACATAAAATCACATAATTAATTTGCCATTTAAAAGTGCCCTACAACCTCTGCAATCATAGAACAATAATTTAGAAATGGCTGTTTGGCTGTCTGTGACTTATCATATTTAACTGTCTTCTCAGCATAAAACATAAAAAGGACCATACTCAAATATTTTAAATTTTAATGTGTTGCATAATATTATCTCAGAAATAATAGGAAGAGTATCTCGTATTTTATTGTGAGATAAGTTTTCCAGTCAATCTCTAGTTTGATTTCTTTTTAGGGAGATATTTTTCTTTAAATTAATTCCTGTGTTTGGCTCAGCTCTTACAGTTTAGTGCTGAAAATGTAGAAGGCAGTCATTTTAGGAATTTACTGATGGATTTAAAATGTCATGATCCTGTTTTGGTTTGTAACATCACCGAAGCTGAAAAAACAGCAGAGAAAGACACAGCAACACAAACCGATTTCTTGTTATCCAGCAAGGCGTATCTTCTTCTGGATGTCATTAAGCTAGAAGAAAGTTTTGACTTTGCTATAATCCTGCTGTTCCTTTTTAAACGCAGTTTCCAAACGCCTTACATTTTTTCACTGAAGTATCGCCATAAGCTGACATGATATCATGTGCTCTTCTTTTATCTTCTGAAGCTTGAATTTTATGATTTAAAATGTACTTTAGTCACTTAAGGAAGAGTGATATTTTATGCTGTTTTCTATGGGAAAACAGCTTTGCAGAAAATATTTATTGGAATGTAGGAGATTTCTTTTGAAATAATTTGAATGGTTACTGTAAAGGTAAAGTATTCTGCCCATTACCGGAAAATAACTTTACGTATACCTCCTGTGACTTAAATCATTGATGACATTTGTTGCAATGTGAACGTAGCGTTAAGATTCTTACAGCGTTCAACTTCAAGTAGCAGTCCAGCAATGGTATGGACTAAGGATATTATTATATCCTATGCTATGCTGAGAAAAGCACATCTGTAAAACTGTTGTGTCTTGGTTATTAGTGGCAGGATTTGAACTATCTTTAATCTCATTTGACTTGTTCATCTTCCTTAAGGATCTCCATAAAGATGCACTGAGTATTCTTTTCAGTCCTTAGTTAGGGTTTGCATCAGTGGTCGTAAACCTGCTTAGCGGACAAAGACTCTTTTCCCTTTGAAGTCACTTCCCCAGCTTTTCAAAAGGTCTGCAAGCTGGTTCCCCTAAAACAATTTAGAAAAGTTTGAAGTGGTGCCCCTTAAACCAGCAACAAAATAAAATTTTCTCTTTGCATTATTGAAAACCATGACAATCTTCTGAAGCAATAACAGTCTAAAAGCTTTTAAAGAAATCTGTTCTGCTCTACGACCAGCTTTTAAGTTGACCCCATTATTTGGAAAATCAGAGGCTTGGAAACCCCTAAATACTTGACATTCTTATAAAAGGAGTCAGCCTGACTTTTCACAGGCCTCCTCTTTTACAGTATTTATTCAAGTCCCAATTTCTTTACAGATACTATTCAGATTTCTTCTATTTCTTTTTTGCATTAAAGTGTTTCTTTAGAACAAATGTAATTTAGTAAACAGTCAATGCAATTTATGAAACACCGATCCTGCCACTTGTAGATTTATACTCTGTTTGAAGTCAAGTCCAAATTCTAAAAAGGCTGTGAACATTACTTATGTAATTTTACTTTTCTATGGACTGTGATAAATACATATGCCCAGTTTCTACTTCTTGTTTTAAGAATCTTATCTCCTACATTTTATGTATATAGTTACTGACAGCCTAATGTAGATAAAGCCTACAATAATGTAGTTGCTGTAAGCAGTAAGTTTACTATGAGGATTTTATTTATCTGCACCTCCTAATCATTCGTTCAGACCTTGCTTCTTGTAAGTCCTTCTAACTCCAACATCTTATATTGATTACTGCACAACACTGTACATTTAAAACTTCTCTGATTTCAAAAGTTACATTGACATGTGTTGTATATAATTAGATTTCTTCCTTGCTGATCTATGCAAGTATGTGTTAAATGCAATTTCTGAAAGCAAAAGAAAGCAATAAAACCGGAATTCTAGAATTTTGGTAATGTAGGCAGCTCATTTAAAATAAAACGAACTAACAAAAGCTTTAAACGCACAAAGCTGTCTCCTCTTTTATAGCTTGGGGACAACAGGGAGAAAGAATTGGGTAAACAAAATTAAATTGCTACTGGATAATAAGACTGTTATGGTTGCTGTTACATTTTCCCCTAAAACTGCAAATCTGTGGCTTGTCTACACAATGTTCATTTATGAATCTTCTAAGGTGCCTGCCCCATGTGTAAGTGAGGAAAGTTCAATAGTGCAAATTTTCTCCAAAAGGGTCGTCAGCATTCGTAGGATCAGCCACCTGAGAAGTACCTAGAGGTCATTAAGTCTACCCTTATGCTTCTAATTTGTTGGGAGTTTCTCCTTTGCTTCTGAACTGTCTGCCATACTTCCTGGGCTTGAGAGTGTTTTGCCAAACATTATACAAAACCAAAGCAATAGCTTTTAATGATTATTTATTAAGAGATTAGGGACAATTCAGCAAGTTGCTCCAAAGCATTTTCAGATTTAAAATGCTGATAACATATATGCATATATGTGTGCGTGTATGTGCACACATATATATACAAATTATGCTAAATATATATCTAAGAAGAAACAGATTTATTTACTTTTCAAGATTTTGTATTGTGGATATAAATTGTAGATTATAACAGTAACTGAAGAATAAATCCAATTTTGAAAGGTCAAAATCCTTGATTTGATACTTTTTGTCATAGATTATGACCTTTTTAGAAAAGCCATTTGAATGTGGCAGCTACACGGACACTCTGGGAGGTGTTGCAAAGGGCCTGAGCAAAAACGTAATATATGGAGAGTAAGCCAAGTTTTTATTTATGCAAGCCCAGATCTACACTTCTTTTCCACAGAAGTCTCTCACTGTGCACGTGCAGCGTGTGGGTAGCTACCTGTTTTAATATATTTCCATAATTTCTAGTAAGACCCAGTACCAGTAGTGCTAGTACTTTTAAGACTACAGGGACAAACTAATGACATTATGCTGGTTTTATCTTTTGAAAAGTTAGAACCCCAAGTGTGATTTGAATGATGCTACCTTAGTAACCAGTGGAGTCAGTTGGCCCTATTATTGCTCTGTCTCTTTGCAAAACCATCTCCTGCTTTTGAAGCAAAAAAGTTGGATTTTACCACTGCTTTACTGCCTTGTTGGTATCTCATATATCATCATTTATTGTGAAGTAAAATTATTCCCTGCCACGTAAAAACTTGGTTGTGAAACTGCATGATAACATTGCCCGAGATACATTCTTTACAGTTTAATAGCTTCGTAAAATGCTATGAATGAACTGATTACATAGTAATACAGAAATAACACTGAGATTTCCATGAAATGCTAGCCCTCTTGAAGAGGGTGATCAAGGGAATGACCTGTGAGTGAAGTTATAAAATTATTTAAAGAGCTTTACAACATTTGCTTACCCTTTCTGTGTCTTGACCTGGAGAATAATTTTTTTTTTCCTTTAAATGTCCCAGTTGTACAATTTCTTCTGCTTTATGGTATTCGTATATGTTTGATTACAAAGAGGATCTCAGAAAAATGCCATTTTATTTGTTCTTGTTGCAGGGAAATGTCTAATAGGAGCAGTGGTAATTAATGTTGGGTTTGGGTGTTTTGATTTTGCAAACTCTTCTGAAATTCACACTAATTATGGTCCAAGCTCCACATCTTACAAGGAACTAGAGATCAGGCTGAGGTCTCAACACTGTTACTAGGTTAAAATAAAATCAGTCAATGGATGTTTTACTTCATCTTTGGATACTGTAGGGGTCTCTTCTCAGTACCTGTCATAGTGACACTGGCATTTACTTATTACTCTTATAGGAAAAAGTAGTAATTGACTTAGATCTCTTCTTACACACACACCCCCCCCACACCAAAAAAAAAAAAAATAGAGGAGGGATGCAGGGAGGGGGAAACGCAAATCTGTGTGCTCCAACTTCTGTTTGGTTTTAGCACACACATGACTTTTATGTTAATGTGCGTTAGTAAATACATAGGCTGAATTTCTATAATATACTGCTGCTGTACTATATAGATAGGAGTAGAGAACTACCATATGCAAACGGTAGCACAGAAGTGATTTGTAAGGAATGTGCACTCAAAGAGCAAGGAAACTAAAGACGCTTCAGTGATTGAAAGCAGTGATTTTAGAAACAGATTGTAACCAAGGTTTGCTTTTATTGTTTTTTCATTGAAGGTGATTTTGCAACTCCTCGAGCTATTTTGACAGGACATGACTATGAGATCACCTGTGCTACCATTTGTGCTGAACTTGGCCTGGTAATAAGTGGTTCAAAAGGTAAGGTAGCTGTTGTCATTTCTTTCCATTCATGAAGCTGTAATCTTAATGCAAAAAGAAATATAGTCTCATGTGACAGAATTTATTAACTTTATGGTGGTTTTATTTCTAACCCTTTTTTAGTTGCTATGGAATTTGAAACCTTTTTTTAAACATGTTAAAACTGAGGATTATTCAAACATTTACAGGAACAGACAACCACATCAGTTTCCCTATTATAACCCACTGATTACTTTTCTTTTTGTTTGTTTATCCAGTGTATAATTGCATATAGCATACAGTTGGATACAGCTCTTGCCTGCCAGGATGGTAAAGAATGTTTGTTATGGATAACTTCTCAGAAAGGGAAGCAAAAATTAGTTTTAGGAGAAAGAGAATGTGCTGTCTTGTTTGTTTGATGAAGGGTATATTTAAACTCCCAACTAAAATTTATAGTAATTCTGTTCAGGCTCTTTGAGCTTAGCTACAAAGCCTGTAATATGCCCCATTTGTGTTCTCAAAGACCTGCTTTTGGCAGGCAAATTGTAAAGGATGGTGTTGGTTCCGTGGATATTGTTTATCATTTTCCTATTTGCTGGTCCACAATTATTTTTAATCTGGAAATTTCTTAGAACTAGGATCTTTCTGCTTTACTGTTTCCAAAGTACCTACTTTGAGACACTTTTTCAAAGTTGGGTATACTCACCATGTGCACCTGTGTGTGTTTCTGTTTTATACATGTGAACACTTGTGGCTTACATGCAAATCAGGTATTTGTTCAAATATATTAAAAAGCAAATATTTAGTGGATCATGGATGGGTTAAAATCTTAATATGAGAATATAGACTTTTAGAGTACCTACCTGTGTAGACTTTTAGAGTACCTACCTATGTAAATTCATTACACTTAGGTCTGTGTGTTTTTGTATTTTGAAAATTTCATTTTAGGATTCAGTACATTTATTTTTGTGCTCTCAAAATGAACTACTACCAGTTTCAAAAGAAAATCCACAAAAGAAAACCCGTTAGGTCTCTAACTAGTTTTGGTAGGTGCTCTAAAATACCTTAATACAAAGATTTTAAAGGATAAACTGTTCATTTTACTCTCTGGCACCCTTAAAGTCATAGGCTATCCACTGAAACATGGTAAAAATCATTATATTGTATTATAATACTGATTACCTAAGTAGAAGTCATTACTTATTATTTGATATATGATGTCTTTAAATAAGCATGTAAATCAGTAACTGGAAATTTTGTTCTGTCTCATTAGAAGGACCATGTCTCATACATTCTATGAATGGAGATCTGCTGAGGACATTAGAAGGTCCTGAAACACTAGAAGGTCCCGAAAACTGTCTGAGACCAAAACTTATTCAGGCTTCAAGAGAAGGCCACTGTGTCATATATTATGAAAACGGCCTCTTCTGTGTGTTCAGTGTGAATGGGAGACTTCAAGCCACCATGGAAACAGATGACAAGATAAAGGTGAGTGTACTCAAACCTGTGCAAAGGAGCGTCAGTTCCAGTATCAGGAAAAGCCACCAATGTTGGAGTTGTGTGGAGACTCTTTCTATAGCCAAAACACATGATACTAGACTATAATAGCAGCATTCTGAAAAAAAAATGTTTTAAGGGGACCATGTACTCCTAATAGTACTGGTTTTAATTTTAAAATAACTGCTCGTTTAGTAAGGAATACCCTGTAGGCATTTCCTTGAATTGAAAAGTACAAATGTTACTAATTGCTGACCAGATGAAGCCGGGCTACTTCTTTACTTTTGAGTCTGAAGGTAGGAGGTCGTTGGACATGCTGTTTTGGATGTTGGCTTTCCCTTTTTTTGGCACCTCTGTCTACATTCCTTCATCTTAGCTTGAGAGAGCATGTGTTGTACTGAGCTTCAGGAAAGTTGTAGGCATATGTCTATATTTCAACTCTTTAGCCCTTTGGCATTTGCTGAGCAGGCAGCTATGTTCACATCTTTAGCTGCAAGAGACATGGAGCAAGTCCAAAACTATGCAGGAGGCATTTTAAGCTTAGGGGTTTATGGAAATTATTTTATAATACAAAATGCAGGTCTTTTGACAGTTCCTATGAAATAGTACCTATGAAGCAGAGCAGAACCTGCCAACTATATTGCAATGAAGCAGAAATGTCAAAAGAATACTTTCCTTGAATTAAAAATATTCCCACTTTTTCCTTGAAAGAGAAAGAAAGGAAAGGGAAGGGAAAAGAAAAATGAACAAGCATTACCAAATCTGCTAGAAAGTTACAGAATGCAGCAGAGACATGAAGCAAGCTCACAGTGCTCGGTCAGCATTCAGGCTACCTGAATTATCTGAAGTTATGGTCTCTGTGCCAGTAGTCATGGTCTGGGAGGCACAGAATCACAGAATGGTTGAGGTTGGATGGGACCTCTGAAGATCATCTGGTCCAGCCCCCCTGCTCAAGTGGGGCCATCTAGAGCCGGTTGCTCAGGACAACGTCCAGATGACTTTTGAATATCTCCAAGGATGGAGGTTCTACAGCCTCTCTGGACAACCTTTGCCAGTGCTCAGTCATCCTCACAGTAAAGAAGTGTTTCCTATGTAAAAACTATTTAACTATTTAACATCAGCAAGAGGAGACTTTTGTTGTTGTAAGCATATAGCAGTATTACACTTACAAGCTGACTTCCATAATCTGATGGAAGAGCCGAGCAACTCAGCTGCTGGGATTTCCAATCTACTCTTGAGTTGAAAACTCAGTTTTTCCTTTATTTGAATTAGGAAGGAAATGCCTCTTCGCCCTCATGGTTGTTTTACAGAATTATTGAAATTCTTTCAGATGTTTTGCAAAATTGTGAGTGTTTTTATATTTGCACCTGTTCTTCTCTTGACTCTATTCATATTAATTCTTAACATGGAAGAATGTGTCAATATATTTGAAAGAATTTTGATCTTACAGTTATAGAATTATAGAATCATTTTAGTTGGAAAAGACCCTTCAGATCATCAAGTCCAACTGTTAACCTAGCACTGCCATCTCCACCACTAAACCATTTTTAATTATTTTCATTATTTCCATTTTATAATTTACATGGAACAGTGAATGTTCCATTAGCACTGAAGTGTCCAGTGTAGTTCAGTGTATTCCACTTAAAACCTTCTAAAATCTGTGGTGTACTATACTCTGTTAATCCAGCATCCCTGTTTTCAAAATGTCAGATACGGTGGTGGTGAAATACGCAGAAATAACTCTGTGTAGGTCTCTCTACCATAGTGAGAGTGCTGTCTGCAGGACCGAGAGGGCATTCGAACTTTGGATGCTGTGGCAGCCACAAGTGCAGATTTGAGGCTGGGGAAACAATGTAGGAATGTGTATATTTCTGTCCCAAGCCATTTTTCCAAATTAATGTAGATTCTTTCTTCAGTTTGAATCTTTCTTCAGTTCTCTGAAATTGCACCTTTGGCTGTCCTTGTACAAATGCTTTTGAGATTTTCAGCCTACCCTTCATCCCAGTTCTTTCCATAAAGCAAGTACATATCACAGTGTTTTCTCTTTTTACAATAATAATGTTGATAATCTGTCACTTTCAGTTGTGATTATGTTGTCAGCTAGGCCAGCAAATCTGTAAAATATCTAGAAATCCCTTGCCGGCTAAAACAATTTCTGTAGTGTTTCAGTCAGTACCCACAGCTTTAGGAATGTTGCTAGAGGCAATGGTAGTTCTGCTCTCTGTGGGCCAGAATTACATATGTACAGAGGTTTGGGTTTTATTTTGTTTTGTTTTGTTTTCTTTCTCTCCCAGTGGGCCCAGTTGGGCTTTACGCTTAAACAACCTACAGCGTCTTTCCCAGTGCTTCTGCACTATATCATGTTAGAAGGCAAGTGGCAACTGCATGATTAAAGTAGGGGCATTTAAAATGAATAGTACCTACCCATGGGCTGTGCTGACAAACACTTTTCGTTGGCTTTTGCTCGAGGAGGATAGAAAAGGGAAGGAAAGGGTCGTGTTGAATCTGTAATGAAACATTCTAGTTTCTATTTTTGTATGTCATTATGGACTAGTATTTCAGAATGTTATTGACAAAACTAGCGGTTTTCAACAGTGATGTTTGGAACAACATTTGGATTTTCTTCCCTGTATTCTTGCGCTAGAAAACTGCTAGAAGAATTTCAGATGCTCTGGGGAAATTCAAAGTCTAATCAATGCCTTCCACCTGTTTTTGTTTTAAATACTGTATTGCTCAGTGGAGCTTAGGCGTATCGCAGTACATCTACTCAGTAATGTTTAGATATCTTAATGAATAACTTAACTCTAAATAGTCTGCTTGTTCTGAGAAGTAAAGTTATTTTACCCTAAACAAAGACTGTACGCTGTTTCACCCAGAGGAACCAATTTATTTTTCTTTCCTGAGTCTGTTTTGAAATGTGGAAGTGCCCACAAGACTCCTGCTGCTGTAAGCCAGGGCTGTCACAGTGTCAGCTCTGCCTTTTTACAAAGCACTGCCTTTCAAAAATCTGAGATGTTAAAAGGGATTTGTGCAAAGTTTTGAGACTTTCCAAGAAAATACAAGTCAGAAATGCAGCTTTTAGAACATTGCTGAAATTGTGCGCTTTGGGGATTATTTGAGAGTCTGAAGCTCATGTAGTGAGAAAGATTAGTTGCAGAGTTGTTTCAGTTTCATACCTAGCAGAATTGTAGATAAACTACGCTGGGGAAAAGCAGAACAGTAAAATTGATTCATGTTGTCTTCCATACCAGTTGGAGTACTTGGGAGTAAAAGCATCCTTTCGTTTGTTAAATCTTGAAGGGCCTGTCATGAAACTGAAATGTTGACAGGGTGACCTTTTTCTTCCATTCATTCATTCCTTCATATATATATATATATATTCAAATGGCTGAAAAATTTATTAATAAACTATAAAAATAAATAAATCAACATCTTCATGACAAGCCAATGACTTAGTAAAATTGCGTAGGTATTAGTAAGGGTTCAAAGCCTATACTTTATTTAATCAAAAGATTACAAAACCCACTGCATTTTGCAGGTAGTGGAAGAGTTAAAGATTAATGGCTTTAATTTGCCTTTTAATATAGCATTTCTTCAGTAAAAGCCTCAAGTATAAAATTCAAGTGAACCATGACCATAAGGTTAATGGATTTTCATCAGCTGAATTTTATAAGTGTAGCAAATAATTATTTGTCACGGTCTTCATTGCAATTTGAAAATACCCTTAGGAGACTGCCATTGCTATAGAGAAGAAAACCACCCCATATTGATTTTTGCTCCTAATGAATAATCTTTTTAAATAATTGTGTGTGATGTGTTAGATCACATGATCATCTACTCGGTTCGTGCAAGTTCTAGATCATTTTCACAGTCTTATCTCAGTTTGTTTTCTACCCCTTTCTTACTGAGTTACTATACTCTTCTAAGAAGGTCTCTAAATGAGTTTTCAGGCTCCTTGGGGCTGTGCTTTGGCAGGTGCTTAGCATATTTTTGTGGGCTTATATTTCAATTACCTTAATTTTAAAGTTTATGTGCGAAATAAAATTTTAGCAATGATGTGATTCATTCCGATCAGTTGGGAGTTGTTGCCGTAAACACTCAAAATTTGTGATACAATATGGAAACTCTATCTTAATGTAAGTGTTGCACATCATATAATTCTTAAAGGATATATTTGGCATCATAGTATAGAATACAGCAATATAGAAAATACAGATGTGCAATATGTCTGACTTCAATTATTGGTGTTCATGAAGCAGTATCTTACGTACACTGTATATTTTGGTTTCTAGGCTTTTCAGCAGTCTGTATAAACACTGAAATGTTGCATGAATGTAACATTTTTGTGGTTTAGTTTCTCTCATTTTTGTGGTGCATGTGCCATAGATTCTGCATATTAAAAAACCAACTTCCTTTTCCTGAGGAATTTAAAATCACAGTATGTTACAAGTTTTGCATATTGAAAAAATGTAGAAGCAGAGATTGCAAGTGCCAAAAGACTTGCAGACTTCAGCAGAGAGAGATATGTTGGTAAGATCCTATCTTCAGTTTTTTCTGCTGTTTCCTAAATTTAAACCTTTGAGCTGGAATTTTGCTTGCAGACTATCATCTTGAGGCAATTTCCTTGCCTTCCAGTGACACTTAGTTAAAGGGGATCAATCTATTTGTAGAACGCCTGTGTTTGGAATTGAAAAGCTATTGCTTTGAATATCCTCCATTCTTTCATTGTTCTATTAAAAAGTTTTGTGGCTCCCTGCCTTGGGTCAGGGAGCTGAAATTAATCACTGATTAGTCCTAGTGTGAAGGATGTGTATTTTGTTGAAAAGCTGCCCAAATTTAGCTGATTCACAAATCTCAGTTTAAATGCATTCAGTAGCATCTACGTTCTGTACTGAGCCTCTGTAGCCCAGGGATGCAGAGTTTTCCCCTGCAATCAATCATCCCGTACAGTGAGGTGCACAAAAATGCCGTGGCAAGAAATGCGATGAGGTGGTTCTGGGTGAGGAAGGGGAAGGACTGATGGGGAAGCAGAGGAGAAAGGAGAGCAGAATCGAGGACAGAACCAAGGGGAGAATGAAAGATATGTTTGCAAGAGCGACACGAGCAGAGAAGCAGAGATGGGAGTGTAGAAACTGGGAGAAGACAAGAGGAGGCAGAAAGGAGTGAAGGAAAAATAAGAATTGAAAGTAGGAGCAATGGAGTGAGGGAGTAGGTAGGATCAGGAGTTTAATACTAGCTAATAGTGCTTCATAGTAGCAAAATTCCTTATTTTCCTTTTGATAACAGCAAATCATCCAGCAAACAACTAGCAAAGTTGTTTCTCACCCTTCCGTGTGCTTAAATGAAGAGCATGATAGGCCGCTGCTGTGCTGAGTATTGCGTACAAAAATAAAAGTAGAGAGCAGAGAAGGGCAAAAACAGGAGTCAAGCTGGGGAGGAAACATCAGAAGAGAACTGAGATGAAGCATCTGGAAATGAAAGGAGAGCATAGGAAAAGGTTTGGGCTTACAGGAGTTACTAATAATGGTCCAAACTGTAGTTTTAAGGATCTTGATCTTGCTGGTAGCTCATGCTGATGTCATTCTACATGACCGAATTCATTCAACTTTTGGGGTTTTGGGGGGATTTGGTGGGTTTGGTGTTTTTTTTTTTTAAAACCCTACAAACCCTTCAATTTTCCCAGATGGTTGGAGAATGAAGCTATAAAATCAGGGCCTGGTATCCTTTACTGCCTTAGTTTCTTTTCTGCACGGTAGCAGGACAGAGTCTTCCTTTCAGAAGAAGTTTTGTATTCTTCAGGGATACTGTAGTAGTAGTTGCTAAGACCCATATTGAAAGGAAGGGTAAGATCTTACTATTGCTGTGAGAAAAGTCAGTCTTCCATGGGTTGGTGCTGGGAACTAGTTTTATTCAATGTTTTTCTGAGGTGGAGAATGCTGAAGGTCTACAAGAGTAATGAAGACAATGGATGAGATGACTGCAGAACTGTTATTCAGGAAACCCCACAATATGAAACTGAAACTGGGAGGATCACTTAAAAGAGATAAAACTATTTTGCTGTGTAATGAACAAAACAGATTAGGAATATTCAGGGGCAGCATGTCCATAAATAGATAGTAAAGGGAACAGACAGAGATAACACTTTCTGATATTCCCGATCCAGTGATTGTAGCTGCTGGGGAACACAAGGGGAGGGACTGTAGAGTGGCCCAGCATCTCCTGCTGCCACTGTTGGTGACACAGCACTGGGCTAGTGGATCGTGGTCTGTCTGACACCAAAGGGTATCACTTATTTTAATAAAATTTCAAGTTCAGTTCTCTTAAAGCACATTTTGGCTAATTTAAACTGGAAAAATCCCTCTTTAAGAAATATTTCTCTTGCTTTCAGTCATCTTAATATCTGATAGTATCATCTGGTATAGTCATCAGGTAACTGAGGAAAGTTGCTGTTCTTCCAGGCACTCAGTACGTATCATGATTTTTCCAACAGCACACAAGAAATATAAAAATAGATTGAAGATTCTTGTTTCAAGAAGTTTTCACTGTGAAAACCAGTGATATCCCATCTTTCTCCACAATCTGGATCCCAAATATAGGTTTGAAATGTAGATTTGCCATCAGTCCCCATAATGGATGCAAAATCAAACTTACAAGCCATTGAATTTGTCACAAGCGGTTTCAGGATAGATAATGAAAGGAATCATAGAATTGTTTTGGTTGGAAAAGACCTTTTAAGATCATCATGTCCTAGTAAGAGGGGTGGGTCATTATCTTATTAATCCAGAGCAAGAATATAAAAATGCTGATCTAAATTAACTCCATTAATTTGTATAACACTTCAGGTCCCTCCATCATTCAGCCTTTTGCCAGAGAGAAAAGGAAGATAGCTTCTGCTAGGCTGGTTTTAAAGACTCTTGGGGGAATGTCAGGTACTATATTTTAATGGCAGTACTGCTGGATCTTGTAAAGGTAGCTAATTAGAAGAGTAAATTTCTTCAGCTGACCTCGTATTAGATCTTTGGAATATGGAATAAATCACAGGTGAGGTAAAACTTTACTAGTGACATCTAATGTTTTAAAGAGATTTGTGCGTAATAACATCAATTCCATTGCTGGGTAAAATAACATAACAATAATGTTGCTTCCCAAAAGCTTGTATCAATATCAAGTCTTCCTAGACATTCAGCTGTCGATAGGAAACTTTTTTATGAAAGTAAAAGAGGGGGAGTAAGAGCAACACATATTTATCTGACGAATACCCCTGTGATTTTCCCTTAGGCAATTCAACTGAGTCGAGATGGACAGTATCTGCTTACAGGTGGAGACAATGGAGTTGTCATGGTGTGGCAGTTGTGGGACCTCAAGCAGCTTTTTGCTTACCCAGGGTGTGATGCTGGAATCCGATCCATGGCCCTGTCGTATGACCAAAGGTTAGAACAAAGTCTGGTCTAGAGACTGGAATTTCAGAGAATATATACTTGCAATGAAGTTGCATTTTTGTTTTTCTTCTCATTTTGATTTTCTGTGGATCACAGATCCTGGTGATTATATTGAGAAGTCTGTGCTTGCCTAAGTTTCTTTCTAACATGTCATATTTAGGGTAGATAATCTTTTTCAGGATTTCAGCTGTTGGGGGAATGAAGAGAAAGTCAAGAAATCTTACTTTGGCATGCTTTCAAGATAGGTTGAGTTATTGGCCTGTGTCAATGTACAGTGTGGGTCACATGGCTGTGGAAGGTTACATATGTGCTTTTCATGTTTCTTCTTTCACTTATGATACGAATCACATTCCTAATTCCAGACCTCTATGTTAAAAATAGACCAGTTAGAACAGTTGCACAATAAGATTCCCCCCCCCCACATCCATATTTTGCTAAAGCAAATACTAATTTTCACTTCTGTAAAAGTTATTTTATCCACACAAAGCATTACCCTGCTTGAGGATTCCTTCTACTGAAGGCAGTGAGTTAATATTTTTGCTGCATTTTTACATTATATTTTCCAATGCAGCTGTACTTGAAAGTCCTTTTGTGTTCTTATCGCAAAAGTATTGTTTGTTTATAAGGCAGATGTTTACAATTTCATTTGTACACTTTTAGCTTGTGGGCTAGAATTTTGTTTGCTTTGGTGTATTTGCTTAGTGGAGTTCTGTGTACTTTTCAAGCCGATTTGGCTCCTAAATCCCCTAGGAATGACTGCATTGTGCAGTAAAGCACATTGCTGAGACACAACCTTCCACTTACTGAAGTCCATACTGACTGTTTTAACATTTTTACCGGGACTACATTTCTAAAACTTACATAAAATGAACTGAAAAAAATCCAAACCAGCAGTATCTGTGGACTTCAATCAAGCATTCAACAACTTCTTGTTAAGTATAAGTAGATATTATAGGCATTTTGGAAGAAATAGTTTTCCATTAAAAAGCCCCCATTGTTAAAAATGTTTCAAAAGCTGGAGTTACAGCTGTTGAATTTTAGACCTCTGAAATGTAAAAAATTTTGCATTTAGAGAATCTTTAAACTGTAATAATTGACATGTCAACATAATCCTTGCATGTCAATAAATTGAAATTTAATATGGACATCTATAAATTTATCCATGTGTTCAAGTTAGGAACCTACTCACTTTGAGTTTGAAGACACAGAAACTCAGAAGAGATTTACTCAGAATATTTTAATTACTGAGTAATTACAGGTAATTATTCAGAGTAATTTATTTGGTATGCATGAATGTATATGTTTGAGTGACAATGTGTAAAAAGACTTTTTAACCTAATGGAAAAACAATCAAAATGGTGCTCTTGAAATGAAATAGTGTGATACTATCAAAATGCAATGTTTTGATGATCTTATATTTAGTCTTTTTTTTTAAGGGAAAATTGCAACTTTTTACACTGATTTTTTTTTCCGATTCTTAGGGTTTTTTCCTAAATGCTGGAATTTTAAGTGTCCTCATACTTTCGATTTTCATAAAACTTTAGTATGAGACAATAGAAAAGGCGATACAGAAACTCTTGTAATTGTGTGCTTTGTGAAGGTCATGGCTTTTCAGGCAGATCTAAATGATCTCTAGTAGTAGGCCAATGGTATGGCATCTAGACAGAAAGAGTGCCTCTGTGGGAAGGCACAGCGATTGCTTTCAGACACTTCCAAAACAATCAAAGCCTTCAGATTGCTTTCAAACGCAAACACTAACGTTTCCAACTGAATTCCAGTTCCTTCGTGTAGATCATGTGCTTAAATAGGGGAGGCAAAACTGAAATGAACACTTCTCCTAGCCTTCCTTCACTTGGCTGATTCACCAGGGCTCATCCCACTCCAGTATCCCCCAAAAACCAACCAAGCAAGCCAAGAAATAATCCCAGGAAATCTGAAGTGGCCTTGCCAGACAGTGATGCTGGTAAACAATTCTGTTGTCTAACTCTCGATTGTAGCTTCAGGCCGACCATACAAACGTGTTGCATGGTGTTTTGTATGTTTTGCGATTCATAAATCTGTCAGAGGTGGTGCAGATGGCAGTTTTATTCAAATCCAGCTTGCTGGAGTCCTTGGAAGCCCAAGATGGAAGCCCCCAAAGCTTGACTTTTCTGGTATGTGGAGCACTTCCAGCTCCAGCTGTTTTCGGCGGAAGTTGGTCGTTGCCTCGGGTTCTCATGCCTATATTGATGTAACCCATCGGTGCGTTGACTTGGATACCTGAACATGAGGTAGTTCACTAACGAATGTGGTCTTGTGCTTTCCTTAGGTGTATAATGACTGGCATGGCGTCTGGGAGCATAGTGGTTTTCTACAATGATTTCAATCGTTGGCACCACGAGTATCAAACCAGATACTGATCTTCACAGAGACCGAGATTAGCACTGACGTAGGCAGCTGTTGGCAGAAGTAAACTGAACGCAGCCAGTGGTGACTTGCCACAACGTTGTCCTTATAAATAGCTATATTACATCTGAATGTAACTTAAATTTGCTGGAAGAAGCAACCTATTTTTTAAAGTTAATTGCTATTTTTGTAGACCTTGCTTGACTTTTTTTGGGGAAGGGCAAAGAAGCAGAAAAATGGCTGCTGGGTTCTGTAGTTAAAAAATCTATATTTTTAGTCATAATGAGAAGTCTATTTTGATCCCTATATGTAAAAGAAGCCTAAAGTAAAGATGGTTAAAACTCACATTCTAGCTATATTATGAAGAAACGGATTTTCCATCTGAAGCTTTATCTATAACCTTGAGGAATATATGATTTTAACATAATGGAAATTAATTACGATGTTTGGGGAATTTTAATCTGTGCTATCTGTACCACACTTTGTCTTGTACTTTTCCAAATGATTGTACTACATCAGCACTGAAGTTTCTGGGAATCAATGGTAATATTTAAATTATGGTTAATGTAATTTTAAACTTTGCAAATTGTTTCCATCAATGGTACTATTCAAGCATGTTTCTAGGCCTAGACAATTAGTTCTTTTTTAGTTGTATGTTTTGTGCAGTTAAGAGCGAGAAATTGGGAATGGGAGTTTCTGTTACATCGAGTGTGAACTCTTCCAGTTTCTACCTGGCATCTCCTTCAAAGCACACCAAAATGTGGATTGTTCCTCAAAATCAGAAAGGCTATTCTGAAGACTTTAAACTCAAATTAGAAACCCACAGAGGCAGGTATTTTTTAACAGGTGCAAGTACCAAAGCACACTTCTGCTGGTTGACTGTGAAAGCACTAAAAAGGCAGGTGTTTGCTGGTGCACTGCCCCTGTACAGCAGCAGAAGCACTAGACTTGCAGGCGACTTTCTTCCCTGAACTAGCCCCTGCAATACTGTGGCACATGCCATATTCCTTTTCTGTGTAACGCAACAATATCTTTTATATTTTGCTATCACCAAATCCAGTCAGATCCTGCCCAATCATTTAAAATTACCTCTTTCTTTTAGGAAATGAAAAATAATTTATACTAAGGAACAGTAAGTTATTTTGGTGTTGCACAAATCTACTTTTCTACAAGATTGCTGTGCAGAACTCTGTGAAAATATTTGTGAAAAGAACTGTTACTGTTTTGTAAGTCTGTATTGCATAAAAATCTTCTTTGTATGTTGTGATCTATATGAGTTGAAATTTGCATTCCATATCTGTATTGATACATACATTTCTCTAGCTGCCTACTAGAGCAGTTCCTGGTTTTTCTAAGCATTTAGCTACTCTTTCTTTCAGTAAAGATTTGGAATGAGAAAATTCAGTTTGAGTGAAGAAATTAAATAAAATTACATTTGTAATTGAGAGCTTCAGTGGAGTACTGGATTCTTGTGATTCAGTGTATATTCACAATAGAGGAAATAGGTGCTATGACTAATGCAGTTAAAGTACTCTCAGTGTTTATGCAATGGTGACTAAGTTTTCTGTGTTTTCTACATTTTTATACTGATGTGGTTATGGTGGTATCAGTAGAATTACATTTTTATGTGTTGTGTAGCAGAAGGATGATCTGATTACACGAAGACTATAGTTGTTGCTTCTGTGGTAAGTGGCCAGTGTATTGAGCAGCAACATTTGTTAGGCAAAACTTGTACTTCACGCTTCCTTAAGTTCAACAACATTCATAGCCTTATAGCAGAAGATTTTTGAGAGGAAATGGGTATGCTTTTGAAGTGCAATTTGCTTTTGCTCAAGCCAGGGGTGGGTTTCCTAGGCTAGGTGGGGGGAAAAAAACCCCAAACAAACAAAGGTGTATTTTGCCAAATGGAAATCCTGAAAGTCTTCTCTGACTCTCTGAGTCTTCTCCTGCTGACTTAGGAAACACTTTATTATTGGTAGAAGCAATAGTATCTGATCTTAGAGCCAAAATATTTCATGGGGAGTTGATTTGGTAGATTGCTTGTTTTAGAAAGGGCCCTATTGATCATGAGATGCTTTCCCAAACTGAAAGCACGACTGTATCTGTGTGCGTGCCATGCGGAGTTGCATCCAGCCAGTGCATGCTGATGGACAGCGGTGCGATGGTATCAAGTGCTCCTCGGGGAAGCAGTAGCGCAGTGCGGCGCTTTGCACATCACGAGTGCTGCAGCCCTTCTGTGGAAAAGAACAACTTCACCTTCTGCTCCGTGAGCAAGCCTGTGAAGACACCCCCGTTCTGGACTGCTTTGGTGAGTAGGACGTACCCCTCTGTCTGCAGGTAAATAACTGTACCTCGGGCACTGCCATGGGAGGCCAGGCTTGCACTTGGGATCTCAGCTTTGGGTGAACTAGTCCACATCATGCTGTTTGTGATGAGGTGGCAAAAAAGGGTTAAATTTCCAACTATGCAGGTATTTGTTAGTCTATTCAGGGCAGCACCTGCGTCAAATGGATTGTCTGAAACCTGTTTAATCAACAGGTGCCAGGCATTAACATGCAGCTGGGCCTCAGCTACCTGTCATTTGTAGAATATTCCTGAAAAGAGAGAGCTGAGTTCTCTGTTGCCTCAAAATTCAGAGGGAGCATTTATGAACAGCAGGGTTTTTTTTTACTCGACAGTCCAGGCTTCTGTTCTGGTAAGTTCAAATGGACATGATGTTAGCTGTAGTTTATGGCAGGTGCTCTGGAAAGCAGTGTTTTCTGCTGCTGAGGGCAAGGCTGGTCAGCAGCAGTGCTGCAAGTTTGGTTTGTGGGGAAATAGCGTTAAGTAGCTTGAAATCCCTTCTGTTTTGTGAAGATTGCTGATGTAAACCTTGTAGGATCTGGCAAGAGATGATGGTGTGATCAGAGTTGTGGTTTCTCTGAAGGAAGTTCATGTTGTGGTGTTACTGCAAGCAAAGGTAAATGAAGTGATGACTCAACCACTTCCCTGGGCAGCCCGTTCCAATGATTGATAACCCTTTCTGTGAAGAAATTTTTTCCAATCTAAACCTTCTGTGGTGTAACTTGAGGCCATTTCTTCTGTTGCTTGTTATTGGGGAGAAGAGACTGACACCCACCTTGTTACAACCTCCTTTCAGGTGGTTGTAGGGAGTGAGAAGGTCTGCCCTCGGCCTCCTTTTCTCCAGGCTAAACAACCCCAGTTCCCTCAGCTGCTCCTCGTAAGACTTGTGCTGTAGACCCTTCACCGGCTTCGTTGCCCTTCTCTGGACACACTCCAGCACCTCAATGTCTGTCTTGTAGTAAGGCCCCCAAAACTGAACACAGTACTCGAGGGGCGGCCTCATCAGTGCCAAGTACAGGGGGACAATCACTTCCCTAGTCCTGCTGGCCACACTGTTTCTGATATAAGCCAGGATACTGGTGGCCTTCTGGGCCACCTGGGCACACTGCTGGCTCATGTTCAGCCAGCTATCGACCAACACCCCCAGGTCCTTTTCCGCTGAGCAGCTTTCCATCCACATGGTTTACACTACCGTGGTACAGTGGTAGCTGCCAACTACTGTCAGAAGTTGGCATAATTTTGGGGTTCTTACTGTAATTTTAAAATACGCAAATTGAATTTCTGTTTAGAAACATTATGGAGAACCTTTTTTGCTTTGGTGCTTTTAATGTGTGGGATCGGCTGGGGATTTTTAAGGAGCAGTGGAGTTTCTTCAGTTATTTCACCAACCTGAACAGCAGCAACAAAAACCTGACACATGTTTTTCATACAGAGCTGGTGTCCTGGAACAAAAAATTGTTTTAATTTCTTTTGGTAGCAAAAAGAAATTTAAAACTGAGACTTCTGTGGGAAATTAATTTTATTGCGACTTTAGTCAGGGCATAATTGCTGGTAGAAACATTGAATAAGAATGGCCTAGATATGGTGACTATCTAGACTGTAACTTTTCCATTTTATGTACTAAGTTTCATATTCACGGAGGTTTAAGTGTGCTTGTGTTACGGCATCTCTGTTTTGCTTTCTCTTTCTTTTAGAAGTAATTCAAAGGGAATAAAAAGACTATATTATTCTTGAGAAACTGGCTGCATCCTACTTAAATAAAACCAGAGATGGGCCATTATGTGGGTGTTGCTCTAAACCAGCGAGACCTTTCCCATATAGGGTTAGGATATTTGTGTAACACTTGAGATGAGTCACTCACTTGGATTTCCCACGTGATACAACATTACATGAAATCCAAAATAGTTTACTTTTATGCAGAACCAACCTAGGATCTTCAGTAAACTAATACAGTTAATGATGCATGTCCATGCTTATACATCATAATTTAAAGCTGCTTTTTAAAAGCTCTGGATCAAAAACTGTAGGAAATGGTTTCTGATTTTGTTTAGATTTAATGAAATTCAACTACATTTAACCTAAAGCCCTGCAATTTAAATACAGTCAGTCTCATGAGGAAAAAATGGATTAAAACATACAAAACAAAGATTGAAAGAATAAATTCTAACTTGTATGTCTGAATATTTTTAGTTGAGACTTCTTATAAAGAAGCATATTATTATAAAGATTCTAAGATTGCTCTCACATTTTGCTTTTTGTCTTATCTTGTGTGCTAAGGATCCTTTTTCAAGCAAGCCCCCATAGATGCAAAACCAAAATCTGACCATTCTAAACAATAGAGCTAGTGTCTTTTCCAGCAAAGTGGTTTAAACGTTAAGCATTTAAACATTCTAAACTTCAGTATTTCATATTAATTGGCAAATATTTTGGAGAGAAGGGAATAGTTGCTGGTACTTCTTGGTGAAGCTGTGCTTCTCTGAAACCTGCAGCTTGCAAGATTCTCACTCCGGGCTTTTTGTTTCCAAAAATGATGAAGGCACTTAAAATTCAAATGCTATTTGAAACAAAATTAAGAACTGAAGCAACAGCTGAGGAAAAACTTCTTAATGGATGGTTGCATGGAAACTTGCTTCTTCAGTCCTTGCCCTCGTATTTGTTATACAATGCTAATTTAGTTTAAAAACAAAAAAAAATCCCCATAGAAAGGATTCCCCTGACAGAAAAACTCAGCTAGATACCTATTTGTATGCATTAGACATTGAAACTGATTGCAGTAGGAGCATTTGATTTCCTTGCCGTTTTAAAATCTTTTTACTTAACCAGTATTTTGGATAGCTTACTCGTTTTGTGCGTTTCTGTTGCTTTCCAATTGCTGTTTGAATGTAGCTTGAAAGAAATAATGAGTAAATGTGAAATATCATTTCCCATTTTAAAACTGTTAAAACAAAGATAATTGATAAATATGTACATTTATATAAAAGTTAATAAACACTTCAGTAAAT